ATTTATATGATGTTCCTCATCTATTTAAAGGAATTAGGAACGGATTATTAAAGGCCGATCTCCATTTCGTTCAAGACGGGGTCCGCAAAGTTGCGTCTTGGAACCATTTGGTACAATTGTATCGGATAGACTGCAATAGGCCTCGTTTTTCTGCAATTTACAAGCTAACGGATGAACACATGATGTTGGCCAGTAAATTGAAGAAAATGAGTGTCAGACATTGCACGCAAATGTTCAGCAGAAGTGTGGCAACTGCTATGACGTTATTAGCTGAATTCAGTATTGGTTCGAACCAGTCTTCGGCTCACTATTTAGATCCTAAGGCAACGGATACGTCGGACTTGTTTTTGTTTCTGGATGAACTGTTTGACAGCTTAAATGCAAGCCAGATTGCAGTTCATCCAGGGAAGCCAATGCGGAGTATGGTGACACAAAATTCTAAACACGTTTCATTTTGGCTTTCCGATGCTCTTCCTGTATTAAAATCAATGTCCTTTTCCAACTCCATCTATCAGGAACCTTATTTTCACCTTGCGTGGCTTCCTATACATCTGGAATGATCTAAGGGCCAAAAACTTTAATTATATGGCCCCTAGATCATTCAACCAAGATCCAGTTGAAAACTTCTTCAGCTGTACAAGAAGCCATGGCGTAAGAAATACCCGTCCTAATTGTTCCTCTTTCATTTCTTCCGCCAAATCCCTACTTATTAATGATTTTGTGTCATCACATTGTCTTGGGACAAATTGTGAGCCAGACGAATCAATAGGCATTTTAGAAAATTCAACATCTTTTGCTGAGACTCGTAGTAGTGCTGAACACCAAGAGAATACATACCTAATGTACAAAGTGTGCACAAATATCATTCTATTTGGCTATATATCTACGGTTAATAAAATTTTAAGTGGACGGGACTTCCGTCATAAAGATGACGACCAACTGACTAGATTGGCCTTTAGCAAGTTTTCTACGAAAATGAATTATTAGGCTTGTTAGTTACTTTATGACGCTACTATGCCACAAAAAGAGCAACCACGTAAAATCACGTTTTTCAGCGTTTAAATAATGTTCATGACGTATTAAGTTCTGAAGTTCACAGAACTTCTCATTGGGGGATGGGGAATGTTCTGTGCTGAAGGCCCTGATATTGATGGATGAATAAATTCGCAATATTTGTTCGCTTTAATAATTTCAGTTTTGAATTAAATTGAGTTTCTAATAAATGCACGTTTTTAAAAATATAGGCATTTTGCATTGCAGACTTATTTCGAAGGTACTGTAATGCCAAAAGCTGTAGTAAGTGTCATTAACTCCCATGCCATGACCATGATAAGCAATGTCAAAGATAACCCTGTGAAAATTACATTTAATAAACCATTTGACATGAAAACGAAATAATTTTTGTCGATAAAATACCTCTTTTCGTAGAAAACCGAGTTTGTAATCGTTTTACTTTTATACGAAAAGTGCGGCTTCAATTTCTATTTTTTGGGAAAATAAGTTTTCTTCAACTTTTTGCTGTGTAATTTCATCTGCCATACTTTCCCTACGACCGTATTAAGTTACTAAAACTAACAGACCAATTTGCATATTTATATATTTCACAATTAAAACCTGT